CCAATTGATCGCAACATAATTATCACTCAATCATTTTGATCAAAATAGTTAGTGGATACAGGGTATCTATGGAGAAGTAAATGGATTAAATGGAGCGTGATCTAGAAGTGTGAAAGGGCTAAGCATGACTCTTCCTCGGTAAAAACACCAAACAATTAACAGGGTTACTAGTTTGTGATTAGTTCCGCGCCGAGAATGCCGCTGAGTAATGCTCTCCTCTCTCCCTTGTCCCTATACACACAACACAATAATTCTTTCCTCAAAAGCCTCGCCCTTGACTAGCCCTTAACTAGCCCTAAACAGTCCTACGACCAGCCTCCATCCGTGTTGACTTGCGTATGCAAGCACTACCGCCAAGCAAACTATTTAACAACCATACGTAGGCTTCCTGTTCCTGAGCGGGAGATGTCCGTTCTGTCATCCACGACGGAAGTTCATCCATGGGCCAAGCCACGGCAAGAAATAAGGTAAATCAAACGAACCGTGGGAAGTCGTCAGCTACGATGGGATGATGCCAAAGAAACTGATTCGAGAGAAAGAGGGCTGGATGGACTATTATTAACTTTTTTTCTTCTTTTGCCGTTGAGTTGTTAGCTTTTTCTGGTGGTGGTGGCCGAGGGCATACGTAAGTGATGCCCCACTCCGACGGTGAGGCGCCAGCCAGTGGCGTCTATTGCTGCGAAGTTGTGCTTTTTCTTTTCTTCTTGAGGAGAGATGGCTGTTTTATGGTGTCAATAAATTCTGACGATCATGTTTCCTCTCTACGGTTGGTGTTAAAATGCTGCCTGAGGTGGATTGGATGTACCTTCTCTCGATCGGCACTCTCTCGGTCGGACCACCATCAAAGAACTAAAGATAATACACGTGGAGGGGAGGGATCGATCAATCTTCTGGACAGAGAGAGAAAGGAGTTGCGCTGCTAAGCCAACGCTAGTCGATGCTTAACTCCGCCCGGCGCCAATTCTTGCGCCTTCACCTCTCCACTCCCAGGCGGTTTTATTTCTCTGCCTAGACTAAAGTCTATGTTGCTCGGATCCCGGCACCCACTCACGCACTCTCGACCTCTCTATCAGTCAAATTTGGGGGGCAATTTCTTTTCTTTTTTTCTGCACTCCCATTGTGCTTGTCACATTTGTGATCTAACAATTGGTGTCCAGCAGTATTTCCGTAGTACACAGTATATGCTTCTGACCCACAGCCTAGAACCACTATCGTGGCGTTCAGGATTAAACTTCCCCAAATACAACAAACAGGTACCGGAATGCTACCATTCGTCCGAGCAACCACCCACCAGACCACATGGCGCCCTCCCAGCTGACGGTCCAGTCTTCCAGACTTGCTGCCCGTCCGCTGCAGTTTCTTGCTGCACCACGGGTTGACGACGCAAGGGGGCCGGATTACGTGGGGAGCAGAGACAGGGGATTGGATGAATGGGATGGAGGGGATGGATAGGATGGGATGGCATGCCAGAGCCGTACCTGGATGGTGGAGCACCCCCATCAACAAAATAAGAAAAAATAGGTAAAAAAACAATAACAACATTGGCTGGCGGAATCTACAAAAAGCCCCATCCGCCAACGGAGTGTCCATCACGCCGCATTCGACGCATCCTCGTTCGCTCGCCATGGCTGTCCTGCGTTTCAGACCATCGCCGCCCTCCGTTTCACTGCCCTAAACGGGGCTATTGACCTTCGGCTTCTCTCTCTTTTAGTTGGCCCAGTCCAGGCGCACAGGTGCTGGCACTAGTCCAGTACACTCGTCAATTTTCCCACCATGGCGGCGCCTGCCTTGGCCCAATGCTGACGATTCCTTTTGCGCTGCCTGTCTCCACTTCCTCTTGAGCGAGGCCTCCATCAAACCCACCATCTCCCCAGAGAGAGAAAAGACAGTCAGCCTAGAACGGGGGGCCGGTTAGGGCGCAGTCCGTCTATATACCTACCCAAGTCGCCCCGACTCTATTGCAGCCCCTCCCCGTTTTTATACCCTTCATAGCACACTCCTTATTGCTGTTGCTTTGCAGTATTCAGTCACTCCTTTTTGGACCCTGGTTATAGCGGTGTTAGAAAGACACACCCTAAATACCCATCCAACTCCTTCATTTCGGGGACGACCACTCTTCTCCCCCTTATCCAGCGGATACAGATTTCACTGATTGACTCACTGGTCTGAACCATAACATTTCTCCACCATGCAGTGGAAGTCACTCCTTCTGTGTGCTGCCATCGCCGAATCGGCCCTGGCTCGCACCCACGGCCACCAGCGCCGTCAACACGGTCACGGCCACGCCCAGGAGGCTCATGTGGCCGCCCGTGACGTCGAAGTTGAGGTGCACACCGTCGTCAACATCGAGCACGTCACCCTCACCACCACCGTCTACGGCCAGCCCACTGAAGCTGCCGAGGCCGCTACTACCAGCAGCACCATTACTGAGGCAGCAGCCGCCACCACCGACGCCGCCACTGCCGGAGCCTTCGTGGAAGTCGACTTGGACGAGGACCTCGCCATCAGCGCCAGCCTGGGACTCTCCCTCTCCCTGGGCCTGGGCCTGGGCGACGACCAAACCAGCACCACCACCCACACCAGCACTTACACCAACACCAAGACCCACACCGCCGCATCCCAGACAGCTGCTAGCACCACCGCCGCCGCCACCAGCACCGGCAGCTCCGCCAGCGAGGCCTGGACCGCGACCCCCACCAACGGCGTCTTCTCGACTGCCGGATTCGGCGAGCGCACCAACAGCAGCAGCAGCGGCGTCACCTACAGCGGCAACGTGGGCAACCCCTGGGGCAGCAACATCCAGGAAGTCAGCGCCAGCGAGGCCTGGCAATACAAGTACGTCATCCGCATGGAAGGCAGCAACACCAAGGACTGGTTCGTCAGCTTCTGGAACAAGATCGGACCGGATGGAAAGATGGACGGATGGTACGGACACTCTGCGTTGAACTTCACTCTCGGCGCGGGCGAGACCAAGTACGTTGCCTTCGACGAGAACAGCCAGGGTGGATGGGGTGCTGCGGAGGGCGACAGTCTCCCTACTGATGACTATGGTGGTTACTCCTGCACCTGGGGCGAGTTCGACTTCGGGGATACCGATAACAGCGGCTGGTCTGGTTGGGATGTGTCTGCTATCCAGGCTCAGAATGCCGACCAGACGGTCCAGGGTATGCGTATTTGCCAGTACTCTGATAAGCAGTGCTCGTATATCACTACTGACGCCGAGACGGTGGTGAATGCGTACACTTCCTCTGAGGCGTCGGTGGATGGTATTGGTGGCACTTTGTCGTCGGGCGCGGTGCGCTTGACGGTTGAGGTGGATTATAGCTAGATGTGATGTTCTTTCTCTTCGGTTGTTGGATGTCGATGTGGATGTAGATACCTCTTGACTTTCTTGTCTGTTTTGTTTCCATCTTTGTTGATACTGTTGTATATATACATCGGATCATGGTGAATTCGTGGAAATATACATAGTTTTACCGATTCACTATATAAGGTATCATATCATTATTGGGTGTATGAAAGTAGTGGCACATGTAAGTAGGTGTAAGAATAGACGAGAAAAATGTGGCTGTCAATAGTCTATATACTTTTCTGTGATTTCGATCATCGGGATGTCTCACATTGAAACCGGGGATTGGGGGACGCTGATCCGATTGCGGTGGAGTGGAGCAACCAACGGTCTAACTAAAGATCCTGTTTGGATGCGAGGAAAGAACAGTTGCTGATCGAGGATCGGCCGGCGGTGAGACTCGCTGCAGACGATGCTCGGAAGGCTCGGATCGCTGCCGCTGTGCCACAGGATTGATTCATGGCTACACTGAGCACTTCTCGGTGGAAATATTTTCATATGGTCAATCGGAGTGAGTATTTATTACCTTGATAGTATTATGGGGATTCATGAACTGCCCCTTACACTACTTGTTAGAATATTTAGATCCACACAAATTGAAGTCGTGCTACCTTGATTTGAAATTCCATTTTGCAGTGCAGGGGAAGATACAATATATATTAGTACCACACACTAATTCCGAAACCAATCGTGACACATTTAAGTACTTAATAATTGGAACTATGAGACTTGAACAGAATATGTATTTTACTACCGCTCAAGAGCGGAACGAATTGATAAATATGGCTCCAATAGGATATAAGTGTAACTCTGCCTGTTCCTCACCAATGAGGGTTGTGTTCGATAAGTGAACCAAAGCAAGATTTTTCTGCTAAAATGATAATTGGTTTATTTAGCTAATTTAACAAGCCTTCTTCAACAACCGGGTCCCATAGCTCAGTTGGTTAGAGCGTGACGCTAATAACGTCAAAGTCGAGGGTTCGAGCCCCTCTGGGACCATCTTTTTGCATATTCTGCTTTTTGTTTGTTGTCTTCCCGCCCCGCAGAGATAAGCAGGCAGGCCACCAACCCCGCTTTGGGAAATTGTAGAAACAGGCCGTACAAAAGTCTACACGACTCTACCAGCTGGACAACATTACCCCGGTGTATTTCCACCAAGAGCTCCTCACATTTGAGACTGATACTGTACAACGAATGACAAATTTGGGAGCACAGCCGTCTCATAGACCAGTCACAGAAACAACAATCGCATCGAAACCTTCCATCATTCCCTTGCCAACCAACACTTCCCCATCCTTAGGAGATCATCCCTCACACAGAAGCTTGGACTATAATTCCAAGTCTGCTCATGTCGAACCACATAAGACAATGTCTCGTGGCCTCGAGGCCGTTGCCGGCCAGTTGGTCGTACAAAGGCCCAACTACTCGTCATCGGAGCCCGTCTATGATTAGCTCCCCCTCCACCACTACAGGATCAGTGGAAAATAGCAAGCGTGGCTCAAGTTTCGCTATCCCGTAGTGGTGCGGGGGGGAGCTAATCATACCAGGGGTCTGGTACTGATGCAGAAGGGCCTCTGTACGACCCACTAGTAAGTAACTAGCTTCCAGATCACGTCACTTTGCATAGGTAGTTCATGCAAAGTCATGGAGCTCAAGCGGGCCAGTCAAGGCCCATAGCAGCCAAGACAGGCCGCACAGCTTCAATCGAGTTACTGTCCATATAGACAGCTCCGATGAGAGCCTCGACAGTGTTGGCCATGACTTTGTCGGAGACCATGCCTGCCTGGGATGGATTAACAATAACGAGTTTGTCGAGACCCATCCTACGCCCAACTAGTGCAAGGTTGACGTTGCTGGCTTTGGTTTGCAGAATGTTACTTGTATATTCTGATATTCAAATGAGCATACTGTTCTGGGCATTAAGGAGAGGAAAGAGTTACCTCTGCTTCTTTTAGCTACGTATCCATCCAGGGTAAGTGACAGCTTAAGGACAGCATCTCCAACAAGGGCAAGCTCCTTGTGGCCATCCATGCGGGTTGGCAGCCCGGGCAGGGCAACCCCAGGGGTGACTAATGCCCCCATTCCAATGGTCGGGTCATCGAAGGTGTACCCAATCGTGAGTTGGGCGGTTTGGACTCTGTCCGGGAACGAAGGCATGGTGCCGGAGTTAAGTGACTTGCTGGAGTTGAGGATGGATTTGATTTGAATGTTTGAACTGATCTTGGATGGCCGAAAAAGGATTGTAACGGTAGTCAAGTTCGTAAGGGATGATGGGTGGGGAACAGAAAACAAATGCGAGGAGGATGGCCCTTTTAACTCCTCCTCCGGGGTTGGGGAGGGGGCTTACCATGTGATGTGCTGCATGTGCTGCGCCAACTAGCCTTGCATTCGTTCATTAGCTTGCATTGGGTATCTTTAACCCTTTCATAGTACAACTGGACCAGTTTTCTTACAAGGAATGCAGAGTGAACTTGTCCTTCAACTGCTCGAAATGCAAACACAAACCTCTTTACAGTAGAGTCACAAAACCACGACCCTATCTATATCATGGTAAAAAATATGAGATTTATCTTGAATTGTTCTGAGGTCGATCGTCCGTACTCCCGCAAGTTAAGCGTCTCAGCCTCGCGGGTTACCCCATCGGTCCCGCAAAGGCTGAATTGATGTTGTGCCTAGCAGCACCCCCACCCGAATAGTCTGCCTTGGAGCATGGATTGTAACCCAATCAAATCCTAGATCAACGACACAGTGAAACGACCGTGCACCAGCTATTGGCGGCCAGAGTCAGTACTCTCTAATGACAACCGTAATCTCCCAATTGCATCAGATAGGCTTTCACAGTTTAGCAAGCATTCCAGATGTCCTTCAATACTCGCAAGATAGTCGAATTGGGTCAGCAGAACTAAAATCGTTGTTGGTATATGAGCAGGTCTGCTTGTCAACCCTGATAAGTATTATTCTGTTTCCTTTACACCCATGTTAATGCCGCCTACAACGCAGCCTTGCGAACCAAGGGGTCAGTGCACCACGACTTCCGTGGTCTTTGAAAACAGAGTACCAAGTATTATGACCCCGCAAGCCCACCCTTGCATAAAACACACCAATAGCATGAGCTGTCTCCATACAGCGTATACTGGACCTTTCTCGAATGGAGCCACATCATGCGTCATTCCTGCCCCTCTTAGTTCATCTAATCAGCTACTCATGCAGAACTACCTGAGCGAGCGACTCATTGAGGTTGCTCTCAAGGATATTCAAGCGTTGTTCGGATCGCGGTGGATGGCAAGTCGTTCCCTTCCAACCAAGATAAAAGCTATGTTCGGAGGCTTTCAGCAGCAGCGAAGGAAACAAGCGAGTATTGATACGAGGAAGTAATTGCCATTCGAGCACAGTGACACCATTGATAAAACGATTTATCAAGAAGGGTGAGAATGGGGAATATACGGAGATGAGACTGGTTTTGAGAGTTGGCTTTTCAAAGTTGTGATTGTACTAGAATAGCATGATGAAAATGTGCTTTTCCGAATAACCACTGAGCCACCACCCATCCAAATGATGCGCCCACTGCCCAAGGATGTCAACTAGCACAGACACAAAATTGCCAGACACCGTACACCACATTTCTGACAATAGGTTGGGTTGAATAATATGAAAATAGACCACACGTTATGCAAAGGACACAGAGAAACCGCAACCGCCGTCTCAAAGGACTCAACTCAGATTCCAGTATCCAATAAAAATAACCACCCCTTCTTATCTACTCTTTGACGGCATCCTGTTTTCCTGATTGCGAAAAAGAACGAATCTTATTGAGAAGCCCGCGTTTTAATTTCGACGATTGCTCGTTGCCTTGAAGTGTCGAAGCGTCGGAAAAGGTACTCTCCGAGTCGCCCTTAGGTTGGTTTTTCGCCTCATCTTTAGCAAGTTCGTCGATGAATGTGGGAATATCGCGCGCACCAGAAGGGTTCATGCGCATAGACGGCACTCGATTTGTGGGGGACATGGTGATTGAGTAATGTGATATGAATGACGACTTCGAATTCAAGTTGCTCTTTGTACGAGCTGGGGAGTTGTATCGTAGAAGATTTGAGAGCGTTGGATGAAGCAATGCTGAATGAAAAAATCAGTTGCGTGAGATGAAGCAGCTTATATGTATTCCGAAGGTAGATATTTGAAATCAAATTCTTCTTTGTTCTAGATGGAAAGTGAGACTGTAGAATCTGTGTGGAACCGTTGTGATGAAGCGATGCTGAATGGAGAAGACAATTGCTCGCGACGAGGTGGCTTTTATATTTTACATGTGGCTGATATATTGAAGTGAGGTATATACGCTACAAGGCAACAATATTGGCTGCCAAAGGCAGTGACATTCCGGTAGACAAGCATGTGATGGAGAAGACATACAAGAGCAAATATGCCCTTTCTTGCGTTCTAGATTGCCCTCAAGTGGAGTGATGGAGTAGTATCAGCCAATGATGCGAAGGCAACTAATGTGCAGCCCCATAGGAAGGAAATCTTAGCAGCATCCTGATCATGCGTTTTGGATATCGTTAACAGACTAGACATTGGGTATCTGTAAATTGGATGACGGCATAGGCACCTTAGCCGGCAGACTATAGCCTAGTTGTGACTCAGGAGAGGTTGGCTGTTAATCTAATGCATGATGTGGCTTAGCACCTCGACCGCAATCAGAAAGCGAGACCCTTGATTATGGCTGACCAAGGGCTTCAGAGCCCTAAGAACTGCCGAGCATCACTACGACAATTGTACACTGCAAGGAAGATGTAGTACTCATAAACATAGAAATGAGGACAACAGCCATATTTGATGTTTTCGCCATTCAATCTCCACAAAAAGATACGTTCAGTGTTCGATTTGAAATCAAATCCCAACTAAGGATCTGCCTGCTATAGGCGGTTAACACTGGGTTAAATGTACTGCGTCATACATGAGTTGCAAAATGGGAAATAAACTGGAAGAATCATTGTGTGACTCACGAAATAGCCTTCTAGATGCCAGGACCTGGACTCTTCACAATTCTGCAGCCAAAGCGACAATGGAAGGGGCTATGCACGCAGCGGCTAGTTGACGTTCAACAGTCGTTGATTAGAGCGGCCTTAAATCGCGCTACCTTATCTATCCAATCAGCAACCACTCCTACAATGGCATTTTAGACGACATGGCCAATTGGACACAACGGATCTCTTCTGATAGTCACATGGCTATTGACGAGGCGTTTACTTACAGTATGACTCAACGACACGTACATGCCTGACTGACATGGGTAGGCCGCTACTAGCCTGAGAGGCACAGGCGCATGGCGTGTTATGCCTAAATGATGACATTTATACCTACCCAGCGACCCCCCTTATCATGGGAGCTTTCTTATCTGTTTAGCGGTTCGGAGCAGAGAAAGTCCAGAACCTTCATAATTCGGCGAGGAAATTATAGCAGAACCGGCTATCTTAGCCTTGGTTTCATCCGTTCTCATCGTTCGAACAACACTTTGCGAGCTCAAATTTTGGAGTACCGAACTTAACATTGGCATATCTGCCCGCCAATAGAACAAAACTACGACATCAACTTGGCGTCAAGCTTAGCACTCGGAGATATCCGAGCTGTTCCTATGCCAAAGGGTTGGGTGGCGCAATAGCTTCCAGTCTGGACCATCCCTTATGGTGCTAAAAAGCCTCCCGGCCAATCAGACCCACCGGGTACCTGATCACGATTGCTACCAAGGTAAAATGTGCCGATCGGGTTCGTGAGTTTCCTTGATGGCTACACGCTAATGTCGCTTTCATTTCCGCAATACGAGTGGCAAAGCGGCGTTATGTGGTCGAGATTTTCAACTAGTGTGGATAATGAGTGGGGAGGCACTGACTCGAGACAGAGAGGGGTTGGGTCAGCTGTCTGCACAACCTGGTGAAAGAATAATGACTAATTCCTACTGAGGACAATCAAGAGAGTATTCCAACAGAGAACTGAATCTTGAAAGCAGTAAAATCTGACGAATTATTCTTTATGGTACAATTCCTTCTATATTTTGCTACAACATTATCCCTGTACGCCCACAACACGACCACAATTTCCGTTAGACATCTGGATGGTAGCCGAAGTGTCATGAGTAGACGCCTTGGCGTAAACAGAAGACTGCGAGCAGGTTGTCGAGTGAATGAGATAGCAGTATTTAATGGAGGAAGAAACCGCGTTGTAGTAGGACATGGCGCAGGTGAAGCTCTCCATGCAGCTGACACAGCAATCATATGCAGAACTGGTGTCGCCAACAGTCAAGCTTTCACCGGGGACGTTGGTGAAGGCAATCAGGTACATGTATTGGCCCGCGAAAGAGCCGAATTCCGAGGAAAGAGGGTCGCCAGCGATGTTGCTAGACCCGCATGCCTCCCAAAAGGTGGCAGTGGCCACTGCGGCCACTGCGGTGGTAGTCGAGAACACAGTGGTTGTTTCGGCAGCTGCGGATGTGGTTTCGGTAATGGTAGAAGTAGTACTGTAGCTGAGTGTAGTTGAAATATCGGAAGGAACCACAATTGAAGTACTGGTGATGGTGCTGGTCACAGTGACGGTGGAGGTAGGAGTGACTGCGGTAGCAGTTGCGGGAGATTCGGTGACCGTGGAGACGGTTGTGGTCTTGACAATGATCTTCTGGTGGCACTCGACCTCTTGAGGGTACTCATAGTCATCCAGCCAAGAAGAACAGTCGTCCTGCTCGGTCAAGGAGCGCTTGGCAGCAGTAGCTGTGGGCAGTGTCTCTGCAATCGGAGAGAAGCCCGAAGAGCTAGCTACCGTGGACGTGCTGGTGCTCGTGGTCGAGATGGTGATAGGTACAATGGCAGTGACAGCAGCAGGAGTGATAGTCACTGTTGCCGTGTCATACTCAGTCGAGGTCGTCGAGAAAATATCAGTGACCGTGTCAGCCGTCGAAACGGCCGTAGTCATCTCATAGTCTGTGATAGTTACAGTCGAGGCGTCAGGGGTCACAGTGACGGTGTCTTGCGTTGTCGCAAAGACAACCACCGGTGTCGGGTCATGAATTGTACGTGTAATGGTAGTGGTAGGGACGAGTGCCAACGAGCTTGTTCCCAACTGCGTACGGCACGAAACTGAGGGCACATAGGCCTGACTGCTTGCCACCGGGGAGCTGGCCGCGGGGGTGATAGCTGCGACCTGACCGAGCAGAAAGCCCGCGGCGACGACAAATCCGTGGATTGGCATTTTCACGGGTTGATAGAATATAGGGTTTAAGTGTATGGCAGTCACTCAGAACCTCTGGTAGGTTCGGAGTGCCTCGCAATAAGTACTCCGTCCTTGAATCTGGGTGGGAATTGGGGTCGGCTATTCTCGCCGCCGTTAACAGACCCACGATCCAGTGGGCGTCAATAGTGCAGCTGAATACGAAGGCTGAGAAGGAACCAGGTATTAGCTCCGTCGGGTGTGTATTCCCTATTTGTAGTCTCTTTGTCAATTCTCCGACCGAAATAGTATTTTGAGGTGATCTATATACAGTGACCCGCCTCTTGCAAGAGAAACACAGGGCTCGGTTTCTCACACACTCTTTTGACAGTCAATTCTCGGATTCCAACCGCAAGTCATTCATTTATGTCTCATGATACCTGAATAATACTGATTTTCTTAATCCTACTTTCGTTTAAATTCGCCTCGTTCAGTACTGCTGAACTGAGTCAATCGCTGTCATGATGGGTCACCTGCTGATGCGAGGATGGATCCTCGCCTCGTTATTGCTGCAAGCGAGCGTCGCCATGACAGTGGCTGTTGAGCCAGCAGCTGTGACTTCTACTACTACTTCATCTGCTATCACACATAGGCAGCATCACTGGTCCTATAGCTCAAGGTCCTTGCCCAGCCGCAGGCCTTGCACACAGAGTTCTTCATCTTCTGTTCCTTCTTCGAAGGCAGCAACACCCACCCCATCAATCATCGTGGTGCCCTCGTCCAGCCCAGTCCCCTCACCCTCTGCTCCATCAGTGAGGGAGTCGCCAACTCCCAGCTCAAGGCCGGTACCAAGTCGCTCGGCGGCTTCCCACCCGCATTGGAGCTATGTATCCCGGCCTTTGCCCCAGCGAAGCCAGTGCTCGGCGTCTTCCGGAGCTATCACGAGCTCTTCACTCCCTGTTTCCATATACTCTCAGAGCACATCCAGCGCAGTCCCTGCCTCAACTACTGTTTGGACCAGACTTCCCCAGATGAGTCTTTCCACGTCCTTGTCGGCTGCACCTGTCACCGATTCTTCCATGCTGCAGTGGACCACATCGGCAGTTCTCTCTACTCGTACGGCCACAATTACTGCATGCCCATCCACACTCCCGGACTGTCCTGCGCGCTCCAGAACCACCTCTGTGACCACAGAGACCATTGTGGTGTCCACCACAATATGCCCGGTCACCGAGGCCGCTGGGATGACTCGGACGGATTCTGTCTCGTCGACAGTAACGGACAGTGCTGCCAACAAGGGTCATGGTAGTGGTGGATTGGACTTCACAACCTCCACGGTTTTCAGCACTCGCACTGCTACGGTAACTGCGTGCCCTTCCTCGGTAACAAACTGCCCGCTCAAGTCGAAAACAACCTATGTGACTACCGAGACCTTGGTAGTCTCTACCACTGTGTGCCCCGTAGCTGACAGCACTGGTAGCAGTGGTGCCATGATTACCGACACCGCACATCCTCCTTCGGCTACCGTGGCTGTTGGTAACAGCGGGGGTAGCATGGGTGATTCTGATATTACCACTTCGACGATCTTGGGCACTCGTATCATTACCGTGACTGCATGTTCTTCTGTGACAAATTGTCCCTTGAGGTCAAAGACAACTTATGCGAGCACGGAGACGCTGGTTGTCGGCACAACTGTGTACTCAGTCCCCAAGAACACAAGCACGGCGAATGGTTCTCTGCCATCCGCCACAGGAGTATCTGAGGTCGGACCATCGCTCACCACTTCTACCATACTGAGCACCCGCATTGCAACAGTCGCGGGCTGCAATGAAGATAACTGCAGTGGCTCTCCACCCGGAGGCGGTTATGCCACGTCGGAGACCTTCGTTGTAGCAACGACCGTCTTCACCGTATATCCAGATCACACATCCGTTCCGGCCGAAGGTGTTGATGCTGTGACTGTTCCTACGACTTCTGTTGCAAGCCACCAAGCTAGCAACTCAGCCGGTAGCACCCCTAATTTTGTGTCATCTGGATCGCACCCCATCTCTGCTGGCGACACTACCTCTCAGGGTACAGGCTCAAGCGCAGGCTTAAGCGCGGGCATGGGTGCGGAATCAGATGTGGGCTCTGCTGCAGACTCCAGCGCAGTGTCCAATGCCAGTTCAGGTGCAGACAGAGATGCAGTCTACACCACTACGATTACTGTCGAATCATGCTCCAATGACGGAACCTGTACCGAATACGGCACTACCATCACAATGGCCCAGACCTCCAACGTTGCTCAGGCCACTGTGTCTGCCTCCCCGTATTCGTACACCCCATACTCAGGGTCACGGTCAGGATGGAACCAGACTGCTCCCGCCTCTTCAGCACATGTGTGGCCCCAGAGCAGTCACCAAGCTGGCATGAGCACAGCCGTGACTACTGGCACAACAAGCGCAAGCGCAGTTAGTGCGTTGTATACCGGGGCTGCTTCTGCAGGTTTTCAATGGTCGTTGCCGCAGGTGGTTGGAACGGCGATGGTGTTGTTTTGGATTACTGTCGTGTAGTTGTGGGTAAACGTATAGACTGTATGTTGCCTCGAGAATCTATTGTGCTCTGTTACGATTGGTATCCCTCCTGTATGATTTGATGTGCTACCATCGAGGCAACATGGCGTGACATACATAAGTATTGTCTTGTCATATTTAACATAGTGAAAACAAGTGTATGGGATTAGACATAGAGTGAAAGCTGTACTGGTATATGCACAGACACCCACTAGATGACCAAGCAAAGTACGGACCAGAAATCATACACCCCGGTACCAGTAAATAGCAACCGCCAGCAAAAGAGTGAACAACATGGCATGATGATACCCTACACTAGTCTTGTTCATCTTCCATCCAGGCCCGTCCCTTTCTGGCAACGGTAGAAAATTGATTGCGGGACTACCCCGAATAGTCGTGGTTCCTACGCGTGCCGGAACATCCGCCAGAAGAGGAACGATATATCGCCCAAGCACCCTATTCAGACACCCATCTCGTGCTTGGAAACGAGTCATATATCGTGAAGCGGTATAGATGCTCTTAGCACGGCTATAGCGTTTGGAATAGAACTCCTGAAGGAGTACCTGCACTTCCGAATCCGAGAGTCTCTGTCGTCTTGTCCGGAGTAGAGCTGCGTGCAGACAATTTGCCAGGACTACTGCATCTTCCATTGCCATATTGGCTCCTTGTCCAATGTTGGGTGTCATCTGCCATGGAATGTAAGCACAAGTCTCGAAGCCTGTGAAGCGCACCACGTGAAAACATACCTTATGAACACTATCGCCAATACAAACAATGCGGTTAAGGTACCAGGTCTGGAAGATGTTTTCCTCTAACGGCGTCATAGCAGCAAGCACTCGGGAGTCCCATACCTGACGGAAGGTAAGATCTTTCGTCAGGTGGAGATGAGCCAGTTTCTCACAGGTTTGCGCCGTGTACTCCGCACTGAAGCGGGGGTTGTCGGGATAAGTGTATCTTTGATCCATCTTTTTCAAGACGAACCAAAAAGCACGCTTATTCTTCCCAACAAGGATAATAAAGGTGAGGTTGTCATGAAACGCATTGACTTGATCTGCCACTTCCAGTCCTGGTACGCAGGATGATATGCCAAATATACAGCAGTATTCGGTTGTCATACCTTGAGAATGAATGAGCGAAGACATACGGTTATGGCCAAAGAATACCTACTACTCTTCTCAAGCTCGGTAACCCACCCAGGCCGGACCGTATCTGCTATCCTCCACATCTCTGAGCGCACCTTGCTATGGACGCCATCGGCGCCTACCACTAAGTCACCCGTATACGTCACACCGGTTTCGGTTATCACGTTGACGCGGCTTCCTACTGGACGAATTGCGGCAACTCGTTGGTTTGTGAGGATCTTTGATTGATCCGGGTATTGAGTGTGCATGATTTCGAGAAGCTTTTGGCGGTCGAAGAACGCAAGGGGGTAACCGAATCTGCAATCAGCGACCAGATTAGACCATTGTAACCTTATCTATATAAAGTAAGAAAAGAAAGTTGGTTGTACTGGTCATGGAGAAACTCCGGAAATGTACTTGAGAACGAGAATCCATCTGGAAAGGTGATGTGTGCTCGATAGAGGGGTTCGATAAGAGGCTCAATATGTTCGAATAGGGACAGTTGACTTAATATTCTACCCCCGTTGGGAAGTATCCCGATTGATGCACCCTCCTGCGGGCATATGTTGCTGCGTTTCTCGAGTACGATGTGGTCGATATTCACTCGTCGGAGGCAATGAGCTAGCGTGAGACCGGCAATCCCCCCTCCCACAATTATGACCGTAAATTGAGAAGCGGTCATATCTGAGCTAGTCAAATAGTATAATGAGTACAATATAGATGCTGAGAATGTAGTGCACCTGGCTTGCTTTAGGTGTGGGGATGTGATTACATATTGTGCCTGGGTCCATGGATTATCAAGGGAAATATAATGATGCGTAGTAGTAGTGGGTCAGAACAGTAAATTGGAAGAACCAATATTATCCCATCTCGTAAGTCACCCGGCGAATCTGATAAGAGCATTGCTTCTGAGCGATGTCTGGCTACAAAAGTAAGTTTTACATTTATTTACTGGGCCGATTGGCGTTCTCATCTCTACGCAGGCGTGTTAGGATTCGAAAAGCATACTGGTTGATGTACCTGCAGGACATAGCATAACGAGATAGACATCGGATCTAGTGATACCTCTATTTGCTATAAGTCTAACTACACAAAACACTGGGTGCATGGTGATACCCGACTCTGAGGAGATCCGATCCCTAATTTTCCGTGCGGATTTCGGTGGTTGGGCATTTAATCATATTAACAAGCCCAATCTACCATGTAAGTGTGAATTGGTCAGGATCAGAACAAACCAGATCAGCAGAGCCGGTTGGGCTTCTTTTACTTCGGTTGATTGGAATGATTGTCGCACTCTATATACGAACTTGTAGCAAGATAGAGTGTCGGAGTTTGGTTCCCCCGGGGGCAGATTGCCTCGCTTCATCAAGCATTTCCTAGCCGTACGCCGTGGTACTTACAAGTAGCGCCCGAGTTACACCATAAACGTTTAAGGCAGGTAGAGTGGAATTTCCATAGGGCTTACAATGTCTGATGTAGAAAGCACGATCACATCACATGCGACGGGTACTCTCGTAATCTCTTTCATGAAAGCGTTGTTACTCGGTGCTAGCTGCCAAAATTTCCGTTTGGTCAGAAGTCTCTGGAGTATGTGCGTAGTCGGATTGGGAATCTGGCGACATACTGCTGGCCATGGATACGGACGGCTAACATGTTTGCTGCCATTCATGATGTGGCGTTCGCCGGCGCCGTATGACGAAAGCTGCATTGAAGTATTTAACAAATATGTTGCTACCAGAAAGCTGCCCCGAAAAGTTGATGGAATATATCTGGGGCACGTGCTAAGACTTTTGTTTGGAATCTTGTTAAGACTTTGGTTTGGAATCTTGTTAAGACTTTGGTTTGGAATCTTCCGTGAATTCTAAAATTGCACCAGGAGTTTCCTTAGCTCTACAAGGGGAGTGTAAATATTGCACAAAGTAGACACAGTGGCTTAATAATTATAGTAATGGGCCGCTATCGAAAAAAATGATAGCGATGGCTTTGGTATTGTGTGATTTGATTGTGCGATCACCATGATGTGAATTAAGATCAAATACCTAAGATATAAAGCCAAAGAAACTTACCCGGGTTAATAATTGCCTCTGCAGCGTATAACACTAGGGACTGAATTATCGAGGAAGCATATAGAAGTGGGGCAGTAGTCAAAAGCTGTAATTGCACTAAGTGAATCTGGACATGTAATGCAGCCGCCAAAGCGCAGCAACTTTCATGATAAGCCCGATGTAACCAGTTAATTGGGCGTCTTTTGGATACCTAGCCTCTGCGGAGTTGCTGATTTGTTTGTCAGAAGACAAGGACCTTCTTGACTTTTTAGCGAGCTAACAGCCAAGTTACACTCGAGGGATAACTTCATTCATATATCTACCCTGTACGTCCCGTGGCTACCATATGATTCTAGTTCGAATACCCAACCATATACCATCTAGTCAATTGAATTATATGGAGACTTCCCCATCCTCCAATATGGCTCTCACCATGGAGCGCCTCCAGCACCATCTTCCGCATACTTCGCTGGTTTTTCTTGCCTTACTGGCCGTTCCGATAACCGCGCTAATATGGGATCGCATATTGAACCCACTCCCAACAACAAAGCGGGCCTGGCTTGTTGGCAAAAAGCAGCCATCTCGGTTCACTTCTTTAGAATGCCCCTACAGCTATATCCGTCAGATCTATGGTAAACACCACTGGGCCCCATTCGTCGACAAGCTGGCGCCCAATCTCAAGTTGGAAGACCCGCCAAAGTACCAGATAATCCTCGAGATCATGGACGGCATTCATCTCTGCTTAATCTTGGTTGATGATGTAAGTATAGTGGCCTTGGAAAAACCTGGACTTAGAGCTAATCACCCTATCAGATATCGGACGGGAGTAACTTTCGCAAGGGTCATCCCGCTGCGCACAAGATTTACGGTCCTTCAGAGACTGCGAACCGTGCCTACTACCGCGTGACGCAACTTTTGAACCGGACCGTCCACGAATTCCCTCGTCTTGCACCCTTTCTAATGCAGTGTCTGGAGGAGATCCTGGAAGGCCAAGATATGTCCCTTGTTTGGCGAAGGGATGGCCTTGCCAGCTTTCCAGCGGCTCCAAAGGAACGGGATGAGGCATATCGTAGAATGGCGTCGCTGAAGACAGGTGCATTGTTTCGCTTGCTTGGTCAGCTGGTATTAGAGGATCGGTCCATGGATACTACCATGACTACGGTGGCGTATGTGCAAACATACCCGAATAGTGGGACCTGGCTGACGAAATTTCTACACAGGTGGTGCTCACAGCTGCAAAATGATTGCAAGAATGTGTATTCGACCGATTATGCGAAAGCGAAAGGTGCACTGGCAGAGGACCTGCGCAACGGCGAGCTCTCATTTCCTATAGTGGTGGCATTGGACGCTCCTCAGGGTCATCTGGTAGCGCGTGCCTTGGAATACGGCTCACCCTATAATATCCGTAATGCTTTACGGGTCATCCAGAGAGAGGACGTGCGTAGCGCCTGTTTGTGGGATTTGAAGAAATCGAGTGCCTCTGTGAAGGACTGGCTGGAAGTATGGGGTCGGAAGGAGAAAATGGATGTCAAAAGTGTGAAGGCATAACCGGATATTCAGATAGACGCATATGTTACCTAGTGGCGGGATTTGTTGCATTACTCCTGATTTGAGACCAACTCATGCTTCTTCCTCTATGAAATTCCCATTACTACTTCACATAAGCTTTGCACTGACGCACAAGCATAAGGCATGTACAACAAGGCGAGGTTGTGCTGTATAGCCATTCCACATGTTGATTGGCAGCGTTTTCACAATCAGAATTTAGCTATCCCACTAACTAGCTGGACACAATGACCATTTTCTTGTTCTATGGAGACGGGTCAGGGAGCTGAACGGAGTAATTTTATCAAAACATTTTTCCTTTCTCCGGCCACCCAAGCGACCTGGTCGTGTTTTGAACTGGCAAACATACTGTTAACCACCTAAGAGGGACATAAGATTGCGAAGCAGTTTGCCACTCACTTTCGCAAAGCTGATATGGTACCTACTGCTCTTTAGATAGCCCGTCATATGAAGAGGTGTCATTTGCGATGTTTTGCTGACTAGACGTGCTTTTTAAGTTGCTAATTCGCTGATGACAATGGACCAGCAAAGCCATGCCGGGCCGTGCGGTGACAGCAAAACACGTAGCAAAAGGACATACAACCGTATCACATGAGGCTCACAAAAAACTCGTGCTCTTGAATGTTGGTACATAGAAGTGGTAGTGCCTGTTTTTCGGGAGCTCGTATTTAACTTTCTGGTAACTTCTTCTTCATGAAGACCTGAGCTATTTAGCGCCTTTGACCTCTAAGAAGCGCAAATATGCTGGGATTCCCAATGTTCAACCCAGCTACGCCTGATGTCTGGAAGATGAATACCCCTTACTTTCCATTTGTTACACCGGGGTTATTTCCTGCCTCAGCACCCTCATCGCCCACCAACGTCGATGCCGAAGCTGCCAGTTCCCAACAGTCGGAAGCAAGCTATCTGGATAAGGAGAAAGTCGGTCCGATGTTCCCTGCTCGTGAAAAACCACTGTCTGATACACAGAAACAGATTGTTCGAGGGCCACTTGATTATCTTCTCAAATCCCCTGGAAAAGACATTCGTCGGAAATTCATTCAGGCGTTCAATGAATGGCTGCGCATTCCTGAGGACAAGTTGAATATTATCACGGAAATTGTTGGATTGCTTCACACGGCCTCCCTTCTGTATGTTCTCTTCAGCTTCCACCTAAACCGAGATAACATTATCTTGAGAGCCCACTGACCCCTTAATAGAATCGACGATATTCAGGACAATTCCAAGCTTCGACGCGGCCTCCCAGTGGCCCATAGCATATTTGGTATTGCGCAGACAATTAACTCTGCCAATTATGCGTACTTTCTAGCCCAGGAAAGGCTCCGCGAACTGAATCATCCTGAAGCGTACGAAATATACACAGAGGAACTGCTTCGTCTGCACCGCGGTCAAGGTATGGACTTGTACTGGCGGGACTGCCTAACCTGTCCCACAGAGGAGGACTATATTGAGATGATCGCCAACAAGACTGGTGGCCTATTTCGACTGGCGATTAAGCTTATGCAGTTGGAAAGCGAAACGAAAAGGCACGTATTACAAACATATATCCATCACAGATCTTGTAGCTCTTCTTGTTACACTGCAGACTGACTTTGTGCAGCAATGTAATTGAACTAGCAGACTTGTTGGGCGTGATCTTTCAGATTCGGGATGATTACCAAAACTTACAGAGTGGACTATACACCAAGAACAAGGGATTTTGCGAGGATTTGACGGAGGGGAAATTTTCCTTTTTGATTATCCACAGTATTAACAGTAACCCGAACAATCACCATCTGCTGAATATACTACGGCAGCGGAGTGAGGACGATTCGGTGAAGAAGTACGCTGTTGAGTATATCGACTCGACGGGGAGTTTTGATTACTGCCGGGAACGGCTCACTTCCTTATTGAAAGAGGCGGATCAAATGGTTAAGAAGTTGGAAAATGAGGCGGGACAATCAAAGGGGATCTACGATATTCTGAGCTTTCTGTCGTGAACTTTTTGAGGCGATCAGGCTGGACATCATGTTATTCTGCAGTTGACCGAGACAAATTGAACTACATACATCCTTGAAACCTGGCGTCTATATACAGGCAGGTGCCCTACCCTATATAAGACTTCAAAATCATTGGAAGTCGTTCCAAGAATATATAATATCAGTACGCGGTCTGCATAGCGCAGAAAATATATGTGCATGAAGACTATTAGCCTCATGCAAGTGCATTGCGAAAGGAACCTACCTTGTTGCCTGTCCGCAACCACTTGACCATTTTACGCTCTTAGCATGAAACCGCAGCTTAAATGCGAACTTTACTGGGATAGTTAAAAAGATATTAGTGTACCAATGCTTTCAGCACTCTATTTCTCCTACTGGCATGGAGGATAGTACCCGGCCCACTCCAGCTGGCAATATATAATTAGTCCTGATACAGAGCAACCTTCCCTCACCTTTATGACACTTTATTATCCGATAATTGGGTGTTTTTTTTTTACCGATCCCTCCACCGCCTTCGAATATGCTGTCTACAGCGAGAGTTCTCCACTATGCCTTATTTGTGCTAAGTGTATACAAAATCTATTTCTGCCTCTTAAATGACCTGTTTGAACCTTACCTCGAAGCTGTTGCAGTTGGTCACGTAACCGGGTATCCAAGGAGTCCTCTTGTATCCACAAATACGGGGATAGACCTTCTGGACAGGTTCTTTGGGATAGCTATCATGACCATGTGGCCTGTTTGCCAAGGAAATACCATGGCAGTGTCTTTGCTCGCTTTGAGCATTAGTGGGGGCTTCATAGCCATGTTCAGCATCATTGCATTACAGACGTGCCAGACGCACTCATTCACACGCGGCGTAACAAAGTAAGCACTCAACACCAAAGCAAGCACGCCAAGGACGAACAACGGATAATAGCTAACATGTGTCACCTAGGATCCTTTTCTTCGGGCTCGCACACCTAGTCTGCGGCTTTGGAGTATTTGCACCTCTCTGCTTCACTCTGATAGGCACTCCCCTGTCTAGCTTTTCATTCACGTCACATCGAAGCAGTCGCCCAAGCCCCACAGCATATGCCCAGAGCATAATCCCCGGAATTTCTATCAGCTACATCCTCCCAATCATGATAATGGCTCTTCCCTGCCCGACCATAATTTCCCCAGAGACCAAACAACAAGCCATCCTCTTCTGGCACAGATGGCCATTCTACTTGCCCGTGATCATGTCCATCCACCACGCCATATGTGGTCGATTTCGGAATATCCAGTTGGGCCCAAAAATCGCAGCCCGGCGCGGAACGCAACTCGTGTATCGATTTGGATTCCTGTGTTCTTACCTATGCCACATTACCTCGGTTGCTATTGTGATTGCGTCTTATATTCCCGGTGCAATCCCGCGCGCGAGTCTTTCATTTGGCGAGGAGGTAGGTGATAAGCTCATCATGGTGATAGAGCGGGGGATGACCGACATTTTGAAATGGGATTATGCCATGGCGGCTGCGTCAGCGATGGTATGGGCTTTAGATGCTCGTATCAAAAGGTTCCGGGCGAAAGGCAAGCAACTTAGTCGGGATGATTACCTTCAGATGTGCTGGGACGTGTTTGTTGGGAGTGTGATGGACGGACCGTGCAGCGTCGCGTTGAGAATCAGTTTGGGTATGGATGAATAGATACTCCGAATTGGAGGATCGCGGGTCAATAGAGGGGCTCGATTTTCGCAGGGCAGGTTTGAAATTCTTGTTGACGTGTCTGTGAGATCGGTTTGTCTTGCGACGAGTGACTGGCTTTGGTCTCGGTTACATTGGTTTTGACACATGTTGCAGGTTACGGAATAGGGTTGGAGAGTAGGGGCGCAGTGCGCAAAAATGTGGAGCACAGCAGACTACACATGGATTCACATATGCTTGACTCACTTCAATTTATACCCAATTGTCTGTAGAGGTGCGTGCTTCGGGCGGTTTTGAAACTATGATGATGCATGCTTATTCTGCATGCATATGTCGGGTTGGTATCTAGCCTACTAGGTTATCAGTCATTCTGGGTGCTTATTAATTTGATTGAGTTACCACAGGGACTGTTTCAAATTAACCAACAATTCTCTTCCATGTGGTTCACCACCTGTAGTTGAGAAAGCATTGTCGAAGACATCAATAGCTTAGGTACATGGATGTTGATGCCACTGTCTACATGGGCAACGCTGAAATTGACTAATTGAATTTGAAAGGCAGCAGAGATAGAATTGCCGCATAAGTAAGCAAAAGATACGAGAAGCTCTTGGTTATCTAGGCCAATGCGCTTTAGGAGGATCTGGTACATCCCTTCTGCTTTTCTGTCAAGAAAAGATCGGGTTTTGCTGAGGGAGATACCGCTCCATCTATGGCCTAAGGCACCAACAATTACATAACATACCAAGCACCAGCCTCAAACGCGACTTTATAAATCGAATAAGTGTCTCCAGAGAATTTGCCGTGAGCCGGAGGGCCAAAATTTAGCGTGAACTTGTCTCGGCGAGAACTCGGGATGGAGCGTTGGAACAGAGTATTCCTGGTGAGGCGTGCTCTCATATATTCCGGCGTTCTCTTCGAAATACTCGAACTCCGTCGGGCAATACTCATGGAGATGTGCAATATTGTGCTGCGTGGTGTCTATATTTAACCTTCCTAGCTTCTGAAAGATTCAGCAACATAGCAGAGTTTTGAGAGTCTTCAAGGCCCAGTTAGACGTTGTTAATTCCCCGGATGGGGAACCATCGGTGTTACGCTGGAATGCGTAGCGCAGCACTGCACCGATCTTGGTGGCTTGCATCGCCATGGTACGAATCTCGTGCTGACGTACATCATCAAAAACACGACTGTGAGCCCAGAATTCATCCCAAAAGTAACCGATCATGCGATCACGGCACGTATAACTGTGCCAGCCGCTGAGATCCATGTAACCAGTGGATAGTAGTAGAGTGTCCAGTTCCATGCCAAACGGCAGTACCTTAGTTAATGACCAATCGACAATACCACTAATCTCAAAGTTGTCCTTGCTGATCAGGATGTTTGTTTGGGAGAGGTCGTTGTGAGTCAGGACCTGCACATATTCTTGACTGAACAGATTTGGAAGACTGAATTCAAGTTCCGAGATTGTAGTGGAGGGGAGTATGAGAGGTGAAGAGTTGCTTATTTTCCTAAGCCGGCGATAGATAGCATCTCGACAGTTTGCCGACACCGTAGGACCTACTGGCTGTGGATTCAATCAACACCGAGCGAAGTATCTAGAGAGCATTACTATTTATGATCGCTTTATCCATTTCCGCCAATGGCAGCATAGTATCATCGTAGGGAATGGTTTGAGAGATGAGCTAATCACCTAGCAAGATGTTTGACAAAGCACATGTATCTGGCTTCCTCTTTGGGGCTCAACTCAGTTTCGGTGCCGAATAACTGTATGCAAGGACTACCTGATAAACAGGCCATCGTATAAACAAGCAAGGGTGGATTTGAACCTGGCAATTTGCCGTGAAAAGTAGCTTCTGGTACCAGATCGCCGTGGATGAATCTTGCCAGCTCAATGACTGTTTGGCCCAAGGCAGACTCTGGTTGTCGGAAAGACACGATCAAATCTGGTCGCTCATCTGAGCTATCTGTGCAAAGGACTGTGTAGCTCAGCGACCCCGGAATGTCGACTTCTCGAACAGTGGAAGCACCTGTGATCCTACGAGCGTGGTCGTCGCAGTATAACCGGGTCGGGAATTGACGAGTTTCGAAGAACCTATCGACGGTTTGTTTGAGCCCAAGACCGCTCCTCCGTCACCGTTTTAGAAGTCATGTTTTGGGTACTTGGCTTGAGGAACTGTGCAGGATGCTCTGCTGCAGCAATGTGAAAACTCATCACCTGCGCGATCGGGCCCTTTGTTGACAGAGTGGCTTCCATTAATCACGTGGGTGCCGCATGTCAAAATACATCACAACATGAGAAAGCAATTTGATTTTATTGATAAGTTGGTAGTGATCTTGAAGGCTACGATACATTAGTCGGGCAAAACGTTGTGCTGAATCATAGACTGCACCGCGTCTCTCACACTCTCCTCTAAACCGATGTATCCCCACTGACTACCCTTTCCCTTCGAGAGTATATCTAAGCTAAGTCGCGTATCCCAACCGGTGGGGTGTATTCCCTTGGGCAGCACCTTATCCGGTGTACCAGCTGGAACCTTTTTGCGCAGTTGAGGGAAATGCTTTCGGATAGTATTCACGACCAACTGTGGCGTAATGAGCCCTGAGACAAGCACGATACGCTGCCCTCCAGCAGCGGGATTGGTAAGAGCATCTACATGGCTCCTAGCCACGTCGCGCACGTCGACAAAGTGATAGTATGGCAACTGCACATCCTCAATTTTGACATGAGTCCCGTCGATAAAACTAGCAATCGCAAAATAATTGCTTTCGTTGATTGATCCCTCCCCTGGGGTTGGATGGATCATCGGTCCGGTGACGATAAGAGGGTTGATGACAGTGAGGTCGAAATTGGGACTATTTGCCTGCATGAAATCCCAGGCTTTACGCTCGGCTTGGGTTTTGGATACATTGTAACCCAACACAGGGTCGTTACGGTCGATTGCTTGTTGTGTAGTTACCTAGAGTTCCATGAGTAGGGGAATTGCCGATCACAATCTGAGACGAACTGGATTCCAGCTTTTCTCGGTATATGGGTTTCCTTCTCGACACATGTCCTCGAAGGAATCGAGTACGGAAACACCGCTGCCTAAAAGGACAATCCTTTTGAGCGTGTTTCCACCGTGTTGGTGAGCGCTTTCCAGGATTTGAGTCGTTCTGCAAGTGCGAATCAGCTATTGCATCATGGTTGCGCAAATAGTTCTTACTTACCCCTTAACTGCCGGATCGATCAAATCTTTCTGAAAATCCTTGAAGTCAAACTTGAATGGCGATGCCGCATGGATAACATAATCAAAGGGAGATTCGGTCTCCTCAAACAAGGTGCTGAATGGTTTCTGTGAGGTGAAATCCGACACGATCACAAAATCAACCTTCCCTTTCCATTCGGGGTGAGCGTTGATCACATCGTCGGCTTTGGCTTGAGATCGCACTGTCGCGGTTACTGCGTAGCCACGCTAAGGTTTTCAGCTACTACACGTTGCTAGCAAGTCGGACTCACTCACCTCAAGGAGTAGGGAGAGGATATGGGATGCTACAAACCCATTTGCCCCAGCCAGAAAGACGCGTTGGCCACGAGTTGACGATACCATGATGGCTAGTACTTTGGAGACAGTTATGTCCGATCATACTGGTACTTATACTAGCCTGTAGATATCAGCCAGAATATATCCTGACTGCTACTTACCCTCAAATGTCTTTTGGCTGTCTATAAGTCTCATCATTATGTCATGTTTCTTTGGGTTTGGGAGATGCACCATGGAAGGAGCGCCCGATGTGTTAAAGTCAAACATGATCAGGTTTCGGGCAAAAGTTCATTGGTGACCTATCTCGATCTATTTTGTCTGACACAAGAAAAAGTACCCTCAACCAGTTTTTAATGTTCCACGTCTCGTTTGTCAGATGTTTATTGGAGTAGTGCCCGCAGATGGTCAGAAGTTGTCCCCTCTTCATAGAAAAAGGCTGCCAGGGAAGCATTTAGGTGCACCATCTTTCTGATCTATTATTACTCTTTCGGCTATCCATTCTCATTCGATAACAGACACAATTCCCATACACGCGGTCGCGAGCTACCACTGCCCCTAGCTGGCTCGTTTTCTCCCACTCCGCACAGTTGCGGGTGATGTTCGAGAAGGTCACCGTTCAATCTACAAAGAAATTGCCTAGGCTTCATAAGAAGTTCTTTTCATTTTATCGCTATTAGTCGCCTCATTAGTCTCTTTTTGTCTATGTAAGTGTATTCAGTATCGCGTACGACACTACGCGGCCTATTGTCGGTATATACGGCTAACCGATGGAAGTGGTTATCTAATATCCAGCATTCAAATACATCAAAAGGCACCCAGACTGGCGCCAAACACTTGCATTGACAGAAAGACAATAGTACAGGCCGAATGACATGCCCCTTCTTAACATATTGGAGTAAATGGTGATCTAAATCACCCCTAGCCAGTAGCTTTTAGTGGAAACAAGTCCTTGTCCAATTGGGCCACAAGACTTCAACCGGGAGGGACTGAACTTTAAACACTTCTCATCGCATCCGGCTAAATTTCATGGAATAGATGAATGGACATGGGCGCAAAGTATGACTGCAGACAATACTTAGTACCCCGAAGGAAGGCTATAGTGAGGACCCATTGTACCTATCTCGGCAGTTGTCGGCGCTCTGCATTGCCGTTGTTACATGCACTAAATTCTGCAGGATGCTAAGCGAGGACTTCATGAACGACTAGTCCAATGTCCAGCCAATGCCAAGGGGGTTATTAGTAAAGGCAAAGAGACTAGCCAGACCGCTCCGTCCATCCAACTGCATGCCACAAGGACCTTAGAGTTAGATGGCTGTTATGGTTATGGGGCGGGGCATCTGAGACATGTCCTTCATTTTGTGTGATGCTTGTGCTTCACATCGGCGCATCAGGGTCTAGACTGACAAAGTAAAGTACTAATCCTACGGCCCCACCGGTGGGGTACACGGCAAACCTACTCCACAGGGATTATACTAAGGAGAGCTACACTAGAGGTGGATGCTTTAGATCTACTGAGAGTGCGCACACTTAGAAGAACGATTGTGATGGATACATGTGGAAGAAGTACAGAAGAACATTATCGAGAGAACGGCAGACCAAGTTGCTTCCCGTAGCGCAAAACAGAGCGTCCCCTACCTCGGAAGGCTATAACTTTCCGGCAATTAGATTAGAGTGGTTGCCGGATCTAGAGAGCATTTGCGATAGCAGTGTATGCAGGCTTCGGGTTATAGTTGCTGTCAAACAACAGAGGAGTGGAGCTGGAGCGCCAGGAGTCCTGAATGAAATTAGCTCAACTTCTAAGGCAAGACTTATTATCCGCACTGCAGGGGTACTTACCGGGTCAGCGACTCCCCACACGGTGATACCGATACACTTGGGCTGGTCAAGGCAGGCTTCGACGACCTGTGCATGTAGGGATTAGTATCAGTTAATCACACTATGTACTTGGCTTGTCGTGACCTACCTCGACGTAGTCGGTTGAGCTGGCGTCAGCGATGTCGAGCTCGGTGACCGCAATCTCCTTGGTGCCCGCACCTGCGAGAGCATTAAGAGCTGTAAGGGGCTGTCAGCTATCGTCAGGTTGGATAAAGGGGAGGGGGTACTTATCCAGAAATTCCAGCACCTCCACCAGCGCTCAAGTGGGTTTGGGAGCCTTTGAAGATGGTGAGTCATTATAGCCGGATATCATTAACCACGGGGGCCTTACCAATTCCATCGATAGGAATACCGGCTGCGATCCACTTCTTGACATGGCTGACCATGCCAGTCAACTTAGGATAGGAAGCGGAGTCCAGGCTTGGTGAAAGTTAGAATCCAGTATAAAATGGAAAATAGACAGCCACGGCTTACTTGTAATCGTTGATGTAGAGCTTTGCGTTGGGATCCGCAGCCCGAGCAGTCTCGAAGGCAATTCGGACGTAGTCCTCGCCGATGACTTTGTAGAAGACGCTGTCGCGCAGGGAGCCATCTTCGTTGAAAATTTCATTAACCACGTCCTTCCAGTAATTAGTGATAAGATTTGGCAAAATTGATGGTTTTCAGTTTACCCAGGCGTAGATCTTGCCCTTATAGTGTTGCATCACCGTGGTGATGTGATTCTTCATGACCTCGATGAGTGTATTTTTGTCCGTGATGGCTTGAACCCAAGAGGGGAGCTGAGAGTGCCACACTGGTTGAGTTAGCTTCACTGTCTTGGTATAGTTTCCAGTTCAGTCAGTCAAAAACTTACCCAGCGTATGTCCACGGATCAGCTTGTTGTTAGACTGGGCAAAGTTGACCTAGGTTTGTAAGCCTCGAGTACGATCATCGTAGAGGGTTGAGAAATTCTATACGTACCAGGTAATCCGATCCCGAGAAAGAGAACTGTCCACGGCTGGCTATAATTCTGATTAGATCGGAATAACAATTATAACGATGAGGACATTGAACTTACGCTCAGTGGCATCCCACTTCATGCTGTTCTCTGGGGTCAAGGCGCCAAAATCGGCTTTGATGATTGCCGGAGTCTTCGAGTTCTTGGTCAAGGTGTACTGATCCCCGATGTTTCCCAGATACTTCTTTCCGTGAGCCTTGAACTTGGTGTCGATGCTCACTGAAGCCTGACGGGGTTCAATAGGTTCAGAAAGCACTTGGCTAGCGAAAAGCATCGCCAGTGCAGCTGCCTTGATCTGAACCATGTTGGACAAAAGCGATCGTTTTTCTTAAAAGAGCCAAATGAAAATGATGTTGGTTTGACAGATTATAAGATAGATTCTACAAGGGAGAAGAGGGATTGAAGTATTTATATACCACGAGACTCAACATTTCTGGGCCAAGAGGATGTGAAACTGGAACACAACCAACCGTGGAACCAAACATCCCGCTCGAGCATGTCTAGACAGTAAAGGATTGACTTCATCTGCCTCATCTAGCTGTCTACCGAATTTCCCAAACCGGGAGGAGGGCACTCGATGGAACCATAATCAGCCTGAAGGGATGAATAATGGCGTTTAGGCAAGGTATCCGGAGCTCTTGACATGTTTGGTTAGAACAGGCTATGTCCTTAGCCGACACATTGAGAAGCAATCGTAGGTTGGTGTTGTAATTTGGAAGGCGCCGATCTACCCACCAGAAACGCAAGAAGGAATTGCAGGAGTGGAGACACTTGTTGCACGGTCGTCCGATTAACCTGCAAATGTCCGTCTATCAGGGTCCAGCGTCTGCCTCGGTCCCAAAAATAGTTTAGCCCTGAAGAGATGGCAGCCGGCTACAGCCGATCACCCGATCCATACTGGGTGTGGTAACTTGTAGGGAACCTGCAGATGCTCTGCCGAAGGTCTGCAAATAGTCCCTGGAGTTTGGTAGTAAAGAGTACCAACTTGTAAAAGTAGTATGTCCAACCAATTTGAAAGTACAAACTCTTAGTTTGATTGATTAAAATACTTTTGGTGTGTACAGTGACAGCCAAAATATCATCTCTTCAGCCGATAGATGTCAACTGCCCGCCGAAAGTACCGGAAGGTCGTGGTGTTTTAAGGTGAAACACTATCAGGGCGGCAATGTGTCAAAGTAGAACCAGTTTGCTTAGCGCCATTAGGGTCCACGCCTAGACCCCTCGATGCCCGGGAGTCATCCGTCCTGTCACAGCAATTATTTCCCCGAGTCTACTGCCGAAGAAGAGCTATTGTGGCGTAATCATGGAATTACCCTCTGTGTAGGGTAGTCTTGAACGCCGTTCTAGACACGGCAACGTTCCGGTGGACGATCGTTTCTGGCTAATGTACTCCGTAGTTTAGGCAGCATGCTGATCATCTTCCCCCTAGGGAAAGGACCTGAATAGTGCGCCAAAATGAGCTTGAGCAAAGGAATGTTCTTTCTAAGCCAAAGTGGGGGAAATAACCAAGCAGCCCACTTTTATCCGAAACGTTTCTGGTGTCATCCAATATGGATAAATCCCGATTGTTCTTCTGCACATATCGGTATTGCCATCAACGTAACTACATATATTTGAGCATGGTCTGGTCCTCCGTTCGATTTATTCGTTCTCCGTGGCCAACGACTTCAGCCATTGATCTCTTTTGTTTCTTTCCCTGCGGATAAACCCATTCGAAGATGAAGTTCTTCAATGCCAAAGGCAGCTTGCTGTCATCAGGCATCTACCTCATTGCATTAACCCCCTTTGTCAACGCCAAATGTTCTCTTCCGTCGTCCTATAGTTGGAGTTCAACCGATGCTCTCGCAACTCCAAAGTCAGGATGGACCGCACTGAAGGACTTTACTGATGTTGTCTCGGACGGCAAACATATTGTCTATGCGTCCACTACTGATGAAGCGGGAAACTATGGCTCGATGACCTTTGGCGCCTTCTCAGAGTGGTCGAACATGGCATCCGCTAGCCAGACAGCCACCCCCTTCAATGCCGTGGCTCCTACCCTGTTCTACTTCAAGCCGAAAAGTATCTGGGTTCTGGCCTACCAATGGGGCTCCAGCACATTCACCTACCGCACCTCCCAAGATCCCACCAATGTCAATGGCTGGTCGTCGGAGCAGGCGCTTTTCACCGGCAAAATCAGCGACTCAAGCACCAATGCCATTGACCAGACGGTGATTGGCGATGATACGAATATGTATCTCTTCTTCGCCGGCGACAACGGCAAGATCTACCGATCCAGCATGTCCATCAATGACTTCCCCGGAAGCTTCGGCAGCCAGTACGAGGTGATCCTGAGTGGCGCCCGCAACGATCTATTCGAGGCGGTCCAAGTATACACCGTCGACGGCGGTGAGGGCGACAGCAAGTATCTCATGATCGTTGAGGCGATCGGGTCCACCGGACATCGTTATTTCCGCTCCTTCACGGCCAGCAGTCTGGGTGGAGAGTGGACAGCCCAGGCGGCAAGTGAGGATCAACCCTTCGCAGGCAAAGCCAACAGTGGTGCCACCTGGACCGAAGACATTAGCCATGGTGACTTGGTTCGCAACAACCCTGATCAAACGATGACCGTCGATCCTTGCAACCTCCAGTTGCTCTATCAGGGCCATGACCCCAACAGCAGTGGCGACTACAACCTCTTGCCGTGGAAGCCGGGCGTCCTTACCTTGAAGCAGTGAAGGTATTATAATTAGTTGCAGATTGTGTTTTTCATTCCTTCTTCAAGTAGCTTTAGTGGTGGAAGACAGCAGAAGGTGGTCACTATCTTAGGCTCAGTTGGGGTGGGCTTGTGTCCATAGGCTAGTAATGTGCGCATAATTCAGTTCATTGGCAAGGAGTGCGGTATAAATACCTGTTTTCACAAGAAAAAATAGGCCCGGTAGTTATTCTCCGTATTGGGATAGAGATCTCGTAGTAGTAGGATTGTGGGCCTCAGAGGGAATGACCGACACGTGAGCAAGTCTCCTTCATCGGCTAGTCGCGTTCTACATAAGAAATAGTCAGCTCAGAGTTTGTTTTTTGGCTACTTTGAAGGATGGCCTATCGAATCGCACGTCTCCTCAATTGGCCAGGTATTGGCATTCACTCTCCGCGCTTTGCGGGTGCCGGCACGAGATGTCTCCTGGAGAAACTGGGCAACGAGCAGACTACGGATATGGGAGATTGTTGACGACGTTCTTCTTGGTAAATTTGAACCCTTCAGGGGCTCTATAAAGGCGGAAATCTAAATCTCATGTGCCCTAACGTGTCCGACCACGGTGTTGATCAGCACCTATTAGATCAGACAACAACCTTTGGCTCGGAAATTGAACAGGTAGCTCTTGAATGACACTCTGGATCCTGATTCAATTTATAATGCGTACCCTTGAGCGTGCAAGGGGTGCTATATTCACATCTTGCCCCAATCCAAGGGGCGTCGGTACCCATTGTGCTCGACAGCCTGGAACTTCGCCGACAGTATTCTTACGACGTCGATACTGAAATAGTCCACCTGGTGTGCATTGGCTACGCCGGAAAGACCCTCGTCCGACCGCGTGGCCTTGATTCTGACGAGATGCTTCAACAAGCGGCCAATTCGATGCCAGCTGTTCATCGGTTAGATGTGCTACACAGTGACCTGATTCCAGGAAACATATTCTGGAACGAAGGAAATGGCCGCGTCAATTTCATTGACTTTGAGTGTGCAATAACCCAAAATAACGAAATAATGAACGACGCCTGTCACTAAGCGTCATATGGCCTAATAAAGATGGCAAGTCAGACTCCCAGACCTTGGCCCTTACCTGGAGACAGAATATGAACTGATTTGAGCGAGAGAAAAGACACATGATCAATGAATTGAGATAAGTCCGCCTGTCAAGCTCATCAGCTGCTACTGCAATCATGAGACTGTGCAGGAGAGCACAACGTTCAATCGAGGCTACGACCAACCCCCATTAGTTTGGCATTTGACTTACTCTTTATTTTCTTTCTCTTCCTCAACTTACCCGTAACCTTTCCTAAAAGACGATATAATGACTTGAAATTCGACTTGGAGGCATCATTAGGATTCCGTTATGCATCACGTCCTATGATTTGCCTGGGTTTCAGTGGAATTTTGCAACGAGTCACAAGCCTGTTGCTACGCCTAACCACCATTCTAATTGCACTGATAGTCCTTGTTTGAGAACGATACACATTATTATAATACTTGGATTGGGTGGTGATACCGGTATACATTCCTGACTAGACTGACTGCAGCAGTAATCCTCAGGTAGTCGCAAATCCAACTGAAGATTGCCAGCGGAATGTTGCAAGCGTACAAGTGGTGGGATATATTGATACCTATTCCAAGATAGCCAATGATAAAGTGCGAGTCTGCTCCTAAGATAGACCTAGCCTGTACATCCACCAACTAAACTCCCGACAGTCCAACTATACAAGACCTGCACATGGTTACAACCAAAGCAGCAGAGGGGAAAATAGATAGCCCCCAAACCAGAACTCCGACCATGCAATTCTAACCCGAAACATCGCTAACAAGAACAGACAGCCACCCCGACTGCTCAAACAGCCTCCCAATCCATAGCATCGACAATGAAATCCCAATCAGCATCCGACTCTCCCTGCAACAACCCATCCATTTTATCCGCCCCATCAGACGCAACCAAATGCTCCTGCGCAAGCAAATACGCATCATCGAAGCCCTGGAAGATATCCGAGAGGATCTTCTCGATATCATAGCTCGCCAACGGCATAGCCTTGCCCTTCCGCCTCGCAGCCCACTTATCCTCCATCTCGAGCTCTTCCTTGGTCAAATCGGCCGTCTTCCACCGATTCCGCAACTCCTTTGCCCTCTGCAATTGTTCGTGAACCTCGCCCTGTCCCAGCACAGTATATAAGGGACTGTTTTCATCCTGTAGCGCTTCCAACACATTTGCATGGTATCGGTGGGTCGAAAGCGGAGCGGAGCCATAGGCGGCGAGGTGATTGCGCGCAAAAGCAGAAGACACAGAGATGCCGAAGACACTAAGGAGATGGACAATTGCACGCTCGAGGAGGGAGTAGTATTCGTGGAAATCGAGCTTGAACATGATCTCGGCGTGGGAGACGTCGAAGTCGCTACTGGCAGGGTCGAGGGTCGCGAGGCGGTAGCCGTAGGCCAAATATGGGAGTTTCCATTTTAATCGCTCGACGATTTTCATGAAGCGGGAAAGGTGGCTCGAGGGGGAGGGTCGTGGGGAGGATTGACGAGAGGGTTGCTTGACGGGGGATGGCGTGCGTTTG